GAGCTCCATGTGGTGGAATTCTTTACGGAGTGACCATTTTTCCAGTTTTCACAGAATTTTCTCACAGCAAGAAAAATTATGAATTTTTTTTTCGATATATTTGAGTTTCTCGGATTTTTTTTCTACTTTTACTTCGTAATAATCGGAAAACTTACCAAAAATGGGAAAAGCGTGCATGGTATATGGATGCTATATGGGTGCGCCCACCGGCGACCTGTCGTGCCCAGCATCGACGCATATAGCGCGTACGCGCTACCCACGGACTTATTATGGGCACACATAGCATCCTATATGCGCGCCTAGGCATATACCATGCGCAGCCGTTACCCTGTGGTTCAATATATTCCAAATTTAGGCAAGTCACAGTATCCTATGGAACATCTCCAGAAGCCACCGCATTGCAATGGATGAAGAAGGAGCAGACTGCTGATAAGAAAATGCCATATCTCTTCTCCCAATGCCAAGCTATTCACGCCCGTTCCATTGTCCCTTGCATGGATACCCCATCTGTAAAATCTACATATGAAGCTGAGGTTACAGTACCTACTGGAATGACCTGTCTGATGTCAGCAATTGGTCAAGGATCTAAAGGAGACGATGAGACCACCACATTCTTCTACAAACAACCAGTTGCCATTCCAAGTTATCTCATTGCTATTGTTGTTGGATGTTTGGAAAAGAGAGATATCAGTGATAGATGTGCAGTATGGGCCGAGCCATCAGTAGTTGATAAGGCTCATTGGGAATTCGCGGAAACTGAAGACATCTTGGCTTCAGCTGAAGAGATCGCTGGAAAATACATTTGGGGACGGTACGATATGGTATGCCTTCCACCATCTTTCCCATTCGGAGGAATGGAAAACCCATGTTTGACATTCCTAACACCGACACTGATAGCTGGAGATCGTTCGCTGGTCAGTGTGATTGCTCATGAGATTGCACACAGTTGGTCAGGCAACTTGGTGACGAATTCAAGTTGGGAGCACTTTTGGTTAAACGAGGGATTCACAATGTTCATTGAGAGAAAGATCTGTGGACGGCTAGTTTCCGAAGACTACAGACAGTTTATGGCTTTCAATGGATGGACAAACTCCCTCATTCCAGCTGTGAGTTCTTTTTTGAAGTCTAGATTATTTGTGTTTTTTGTATTCCAAGAGACTTTCTCCGAAAAACTTGCTATCACCCCATGCATTTTGTGGATTTTGAACCCTGAAAAAAAGGTGTGATGACACCTGATAAGCAGCTTATCACACATTCTTCTTCTGGAAAAATTGATTTATATGTATCAAAGTTTCAAAGTCCGTTTTTTTGCAGGTATACGAACAATTCACACCCACTCATCAATTCACAAAATTGATTCAAGATCATACGAATGTGGATCCAGATGTTGCATTTTCGTGTGTCCCATATGAAAAGGGATCTGCTTTGCTCTTCTATTTGGAACAGAAACTTGGAGGAAGTGAAGTTTTTGAGGCATACCTCAAGGATTATCTGAAAACCTTTGCTCATCAAGCAATCGATAGTTGGCAGTGGAAAGATCATCTCTATAAATACTTTGCGGATCAGAAAGAGGTCTTGGACTCGATTAACTTTGATATCTGGTTCAATGGAGTTGGAATGCCACCAGAGAAACCAAATTACGGACAGTCTATGGTGGAAGCCTGCGAGGTTCTACTCAAGAAATGGCTTGACGCTGATGAGCATACTGTGGGAGATATCACAGGAGACGATTATTATGCCATGCAACCACTTCAACAAATCGAGTTGTTGTCCCAACTATGGCAACATAATCCACCGATTGAGCATTGGAAGTTGGATGCATTGAATAAGTTGTACAAATTGAATGAGTCCCAAAATTCAGAGTTATTGTTGAAGTGAGTTTGGGAGGAAAGAGATTCTGGGAAATCAGGAATTATGTTTCAGCTGGCTTCGTTTGTGTATCAAGTCCAAGTGGGAGGCATGCATTCCAAAAGCTCTTGATTTTGTCAACTCACAAGGACGTCTGAAGTTCTGCAGACCAATTTACCGGTGAGTAGCATGTACCGTTTTGAGAGTACAGTACTGGAAAGATTATTAATGAAACCAACCTAGCTCTGAGACTTTTTAAAACTGCGCTGAGCTCAAAGTCGTGACACTTTTATCCAACGACACCATTTACTTTTTCTCTATCATAAGCCCACTCTATGTGTGATCTCAATTTTCTCGGTTCCTATGACAGATATCAAAATTATGCCAACTGATAAAATATTGGTGATATAATGGTAAACAATTTATCAATTGCCAAGTTTTTTGTATATTTCATAGGAACCGGCATAATTGAGCTCTAAGTGCTCGTATAGGGTGGGCTTTCAATTCGAGCATATACCAACATATGTGAATTTCTTTTTAACGTCCAAAGTTAACCAATTTCAGATAAAAAATTATTGGTCTGCCATGTTTCTCTATTTTTCATTTTTGAAAATTCAGAATTTTCAACCAAAAAAAAATACCAGCAAATCTCGCATAACATTTGGCCTAAATCAATCCCTTAATTTTTCAGAGACCTCGCCCAGTGGCCAGTTGCCAACAAAAAGGCTCGTGATGTTTACCTCAAAGGACGCAGTCAAATGCACCCAATCACTGCCGAAATGATCGCCAAGGACCTCCATATCAGACACTCCACCCACACCGTTTGTTTCTAAATTCTATGCTCCTGATCCCTCCTGAACCCACCCTGTGAATCCTGTCTCTCGTTTGCCCCTGAATCCATCTCTTCTGAATCCCCCTTGTATGTTTTCTGTTGGAATGAATTTGTACATTTTCTTCTTCAATACCTCACCGCTTCAAATATTTTTTCTTGTTTTAACTTTTTTTTGTGTTCTAATCTTATGTAGGTCTTTCTTTTGTTGTTCTCCTGTTTTCTATGTATCATTTTTCTCCAATAAAACTATAGCTACATCTCCGTATCCCCTAATACAGATCACTAGAATCAAAAGAGAAAATCATCATCATCCCTCATCTACGGGTGTATCTCCCGTACAACGTTATCTTTCAAAGACCAACATGTTTGATGACGGCCGTCGACTGATGAACTGTCATCTCTTCTTATTTCTTCTCTGAACTTTTTCTTTTTCCTTCTTCTTTACTTCTTTTTTTAGTTGATCGAAAACAGAAGAAGATGCATCGAGAATCGGAAACTTCTGGTTGTAAAAAATCACAAGATCATTTTGGAGAATCAGTGGGGTACGGTAGTTTGAGGAGAACTAATGTGATGGAGGTGGACCCAAAAAAGTATCAGTGTTTTCTGATTCCGTTTCCAAGTAGGCTCATTTTTGGAAATTTAGCTTGAGAGCGTGAGTGGGGATTATTGTAGCATGTATTATACAGGGTGCGGCAAAAGTATGGTAACACAAGTTTCGCGCAAGCTGGTGGGCGCAGGCGTACTTCCACGTTTCATTGAATAAACAGTAGCGTACTATATGCGCACAAACGGTGTACCTATGTCGTCCATATGAGGCGCCGTGCCAACGCATATACCATGCGCAGCCGTTACCCTGTGACTACAGTAATCCCAAAGTATCTTACAAGATAGTTCCAGCTTTCTGAAATTGTGGTGGCAAGTAAACGCTCATTTTCGATCCGAAGAATGTATATACATTTGGTGCAATTCTAAAGTCACAATCTGTTCCATTGATCGAAACTGATCGGATCGAGAGATCACGAACATCGAGGACCTGCAATTTTGAACTTTGTCTTATCACCATAAACTTTTCTTATCAGAGTTTGAACTTTGAGGGCATTCGGTTTACCGCAAAAAGTGCAAAGTCAGCATTGTGCCCTGGTACTCATAGTTTTTCCAGAAGATTCCCTCTTTTAGGTCT